TTTAAAATAGGAAAATTCAATGAATAAAAAAGAAAACGAAGTTAAAATTTAGGTGTCGCAATTACGTACATATATTTTAATTTGAATAAGTATAAATGATTAATATGCTTTCAGTACTGTCTAATAAATCATTCAAAGACTTAATAAATTATAATTTAAAAAAAAACTGAAAAACACGCTTTTAGAGTTAGTGAAACTAAAAAGTAAAAAATAATTATTAACATAAGAATAAAATTACTGACGAGAAAATTAATGTCACTGTTCTAAAAGCGTGGGGTGCTCGATATCAATCGTTATAATTTTTCACTAGTTTCATTCCGAAATGCAGAATTAGTTTAAAAATGTCATACAAAGCATAATTTTTTTTTACTTTTTAGTTGGATTAACTCTAAAAGCGTGTTTTTAAAATATAATATTTAAATGATAGTAGTTCTTATAATAATTTAATTGTGTGAGTAAAATAAAGGTTAAACGCGAATATGTCGAGCCAGCCGGAATCGAACAGGGAATCTCCTGATCCGCAGTCAGCCGCGTTATTCGTTGTGCCACTGTCCCACGGAGGTTTGAATATCTTAGGTACTTTCATTCTACAATTAAATTTCTCTTCATAAGTTAAAATAAAATCACTAATCCTGGCGATTCTAATCATGACGAGATAACAAACTTATCAAAATATTTTATTGTCTTCGGTCCTTGATAAGCCTATAACGTTTAAATTAAATCTGAGCGCTTAAAGAAGGGCAAAATCGAGCCCAAAGAGCCAGTTACAAACAAACATACAGGTGAAACTAATAAAAGCGTATTAAAAATAAAGAACGACGAATACATTGGTTATTTAGAAATGAACCCATCAAGACATCCAATTAATCTTCTGCCAATTCTATTAAATTACTGCAAATCCATTAAAAGCATTGGAAATCGAGTCTTAAATTTCAAAATTTGCATTTCGAAATGCTTTTCTAAGGAATTCTTAGCATTTAACAGCTTCAACATTAACAGATCTTCAGCTTCAGCTTAATATTAACAGATCTCTTCAGCTTCAAAATTTCCTAATGTATTTAGTTCATTAATTCGATGTTCTATTTATAAGCGTCGTTTTTGATTTTGTTCATATTTAATTTCCAACACTGATTATTTAATTATCTGTTAATATATTTAAAATATAGCAAACTTTATTGGTTTTCCTAATGTATTTAGTTTCAAAAGTTTGAAATGAAGTTTATTTTACACAAAGGATAATCGATATCGTACATGTAAATAACTTATAATTTTATTTGAATTCTTTCATAATAGGACATTATTATATTTTTTTAAACATTTGAAAACTTCAAATAAAATATTGTTTAGTATGCCACTAGATATTTATTATTGAAGAATTTAATTTTCATGAGTTATACTTCATTCCAATAAAAATTTTAATGTATGCTAATGAGACTTAACATTCATTTATTAACTAATATGTTTATATTTACTTCAACTCGCATATTATTTGATAAGTCCAACGACAAGAAACAATGTCCATGATTTTATGTATATTTTTAATTTCTGTTATTTTATGTTGTCTATATTCGACATCATATGTAATATAAGTTTTTGAATAAATTTATATTTTACAAAAAAAAAAAAAAAAAAAAAAAAAAAAAAATTAATAAAAGAAAATATTTAAGATTACTTTTTTACAAATGTACAAAATGTTTTTCTACAAAAAAAATATAATATTTAAAATAATAACTTTTCGTAAATTATTTATTCAGTTTTTGTTAATATTACACAAAAATAATTCAGAATCTAGATATTTTATAACTACAGTTTGAAAAAATTAAAAAAAAAAAAAGATTACGCTTTTTCTTTTTTCTTTGAAGAGAAAGTGATCTAATAGTTATGTAGTTCGTTGGAATTTTCGATTCAAGAGTGCTTTGTCCGGAATGTTGCCTGTTATTGTCTGGATTGTCTGGTATGTATGGAATGCTTTGTCTGATAATGTCTGGAATGACGACCTAGAATTATACTAACATTCAACCCTACGTGCAGAAATCTTTTAAATTTTGGTCTTGATTATTCAGTTAATAATTATCTTTAAAAACAATCGATATCCTTATTTGTTGAAATTCAAAATCAAAATCATTTTCTCTCTTTTTTTTTATTATTTTCTTGCTTTCAAGACGCTTTCATGTTTCCTTATGGTGGTATGATTGATGAAAACATGCTTTCCTTCGAGGATGTTTGTTTGCAGATACCTGACCTTGAAATACAGAGAAATGCATATCATAAAATTCTAAACAAATTATATCTTTAAGTTTTTATAGATTTATAATGCAATCAAGTTAAATAGTGAATAAATTTGTCTTTCAAAAGTATACGAATTAGCTTTTTTAGCGTTGTACGACAAGGGAGTTTGCTGACTATCAATCATGAGAAATAAAACATAAATATATCGAATTTTAATATTTTAGGATTAATTCATCAACACGTTATAATATATATATATATATATATATATAACGAATAACATCTTGCAACCTACCAAAACTCTTTTGTATTAATGATACGATTTTAAGAAAAAATAACAGCTGTACTGCTGTTTTACAGATGTACTAATTTGTTGTTGCCTTGAAAATGTATTACTTCACCTTTGTTCGAAAAATGGGCTCATAACCTTTCAAAAGTTAACAGTAAAATGTGCATCAAACTTTCAAAGAAACCCTTCAGTGTTCATAGTAGTAAACACAATAAATAAAACATATTATCTATAATAGAATTTCTGAATATTGCACTATGACTAATATAATACTACTGATTACTTTTTTTTTTAGTAAATTGTGAAGATTTTAAACCAGTGGAACACAAACAAAGATTTTTTTGAACGTCTTCGGTTTTTCTATATGCTTATATTATTTAAAAAAAATTATAGTTGATAATTTTTTGAAAAACTTTCAGAGGGGACAAACATAAAATCAATAACGACAAACTATCTTATGTAAAATAAAAAAACAAACATTCCAATTATTATATACAGCTTATTTACTTAGGACAGCCTTTTAAATAATAAAAAATTTATCAGAAAAAAAAATATACAACTACAAAATTTTTTAATTATATCACAAGTAAGATTTAAACATTAAAGTGGTGAGAAAAACACCCACTTCCATGTGTGGGGCTTTCATTTTTAAAGTTAAAAGGCGAATTGACAATCTTGCGTAAGACTATTTTCAAGTCTGTGAAGGATAAATATGTCACAATGTTTCACCTTTGTTCGAAAAATAGGCTCATCACTTCAGAACCTCTCAAAGGTTAACAGTATGCTGCAAAATGAGCATCAAAGATTCAAAGAAACCCTTCAGTTTCCATAGTAGTAAACAAAACAAATAAGACATATCGTCTACAACAGAATCCTCACACTATGACCAATATAATCATCATCATCATTCAGGATGTAGAAAAATCTGGTACTATGTGAGGCATTGAAAAACAAGACATTAAAAATATATAAAAAAGAAGGCAGTGGGCAAAGGTCATGTCACACGGTAAAATAACAAGAAAAACGTTTCCATAAAAAAATAAAAGAGCAATTAAATAGTTAACTTAAAACATTTGGCGATGACTTGAAATTTTTCAAATGGCGAATAAGACATTCAATTGTGCATAGAAGTTATCAATACCTCCAAGCATGTTGAAGATACTAGTAACTTCTTGTAGAGACCAATATAATTCTTCTGATTACTTTTTGTTCTGTAAATAGTGATGACTTTAAGCCAGTGGTAAACAAACAATGACTTAATGATGTTTCTCTAACGTCTTAGGTTTTTTTGATAGGTTTACCTCATTTAAAAGAATAATAATTCATACAAACAGACAGTTTGATATTATTGATGAATTTTGGCCATCCATATACCTTTATCTTGATCGTTTCTTTTAGAGGTAAATGATAAGAGAAATAACTTGCTCAGTAAATGAAATGAAAGAAAAATAAAAATAAAATATAAAATAGGGGGAATAAAATCAACACATAGAGAGAGAGCTGAATAAAATATTTATTTATTTAGTATGTTCAGAGAGGTGCGAGGACGTTTTTTGTTGGTAGGTAGTGTTATGCATCAACTGCCATGCGCAAGACCTTGTTCTCCAAAATTTGGATGTCCTTAATTCTTGATTTGCAGGCGGATCCCCATATGTGACTAGCATATGTAATAATGTGAATAACGGAGTGCCTTGGTCGCGCAGTGACCAAACCTCCAACCTGGTAAATGGGATTACGTAACGTGAGGTCTTGCCCTTTGCCAGTTATTAAAAAAAAAGAAAATTTAATAAGAAAATCAATAAGATAAAAAAAAAAAGCAACAAATATAAAAATTAATAAAGAAACAAAAAGGAATTTAATAATAAACAAGAGAATTCAAAAATCAAAATTAAAAACAGAGGAAGAGAAATTAATATTCCTATCAAAAACTTGCACTATATGTAATAATGGGACGCATGTAGACCATATAAATGAGAATTTTAGTGTCTATAGTGGTGTGACTATTTCGTGTAATGAGTGGGTATAGCTTTTTGATAACTAAATTAAATTTATTCTTAATGTAATTAATATGCGAGTGATACGTATTTGTCCAGTATGATTGATTCCAAGGTATTTTACCTCATTTGACCACCATGAAATGAGATTATTATAGATAGTAATGTTACGAATGTTAGGGCATTTCCAAGTGTAGCGTACTGCCCGGTTTTATTTACGTTAAGTTTAATGCGAATAATAACTCATAATTTTCTGAGAAACATTTATATGTGATAAACGTGACATCGATGACAAGACAACCTTCCAAAAAAAAAAAAAAAAACAGTACACTGCAATTAATAAAAACTGCTCATTATCACTTAGGCCATCATTTTAGACAGCCTTTTAAAGAATCAAAAATGAATTATTAAAGGAAACCACAGCTTCACACATTTTTTTATTGTATCACAAGTGCGCTTTAAACATTATAGTGGTAAGAAAAACAGCCAACGGCCGTACTATGCTAAATATACCGGTTCTCGTTAGATCACCGAAGTTAAGCATCATATCAGTACTTTAAAGGTGGGTGACCACCTGGGGACACTGCGTGCCGTTGGCAAATTTGGGACCTGAATGGCCGAGTGTGTCTAGCGCTCCGGCGCTCGGTGCCACAGGTTTCGGGTTCGAATGCCGGCGGTGCCATGGATGTTTGTAGTGGTTCGGATTCCACTTTAAGCCGTAGGTCCCGGTCTTCTATGACCGTAAGAGCATCACGGAGCAAAAGTCAGGCTTCTACCTACGGGTGCTCCATCACAACAGAAGCTGCTTCCTTCCCCTTCAATCATGGGTCCATATGGGCTCGTGGGCTTGGCCAGCCAAGTGGGATAAGAAACAACAACAACAACAGAAAAACATTGAATTCCATGTGTGATGACTTTAGATTCTAAAGTAAAATGGCGAATTGGCAATCTTGCCTAAAGACTATTTTTAAGGTCTTTGAATGACTAATATTTCTCCATGCTGCATGTTTGTGCTTTTTTTCACAGCCCCAGTACAGACTAACATGTGCATTATCTGGATGCATGTAATGCAGATAACTTAAATATATTAATATGCAAGATACGGTTTCGAGTTATGATTAATGAGTATTTAGGAGACGCGCAGCGTTTTATTGAACTTATTACGAAATATCTTGATGTAAGAAATGAATTGCAGAAATCAGACACATTTTGCAAACTATTAAAAACCCGTAAAATATATTTACGATTCAAATGTTAAGAATAAAATATTTTTAAATGTTATAAATTTATTTTATCCACACATCATTCACGCACCTGGCTCATGTAGGTACTCCAAATCTTTATAACAGAATGACATATATATATATATATATATAATGAATGACATATATATATATTAGCATGTAATTTGTTAATCCTACAATAAAAATTGCCAAAAACATACTGGAATATTTCTGATTTTATGTACTTTTTTATCAATAAAATAAATATTGATGTTAAGTTTGGCATATTTAAGATTTTCAAAAAGTGCAGAAAAATTAGTAGTGTTTGTTGCTAAATAATGTACAAGCTGGTTGGATCAATACTGATAAAGATCGTATAGCGGTTATAAGCAGTTACTATACAAAGTCAATATTTATTCTAGATATATTCAATTACAATATATTTATCAAACAATAGAGCTAAACTAATTTATTTTGAAATCAATCGACGAAATAAATCTCTCTGGTGACTGATATTGTACTATACGTTTTCTACTTTCCTGAGCTAGAAAGACTAATTGAGGAGGAGAAAGTAAATTCCAAATTGACGATCTAAATAATAGGGATATACCAAACTAGTTCTGAAATCTATAAAAATCAATGTGAAATATGATACTGAAAAGCAAATATTAAATATTGTTGAATAACCTTCCTTCAAACCCACTAAGTAAACAAAAGACACGTACTAAAAAGTAAATTGCTTATTTTACAAAAAAATTATCTTTTAATTATTGCTTTGGTTTGTGAGGAAGGTGAATTCACACGTTTTGTAAGCGAGGCAAGAAATTTAGACAAAGCTATTTAATTAATTATGGCGACGTAACATCATCTTGTAATCTAGCATAACATTTATGTATTGATGATACGTTTCTAAGAATAAAATAACGATAGACTTATTTGATGTTGTCTTCGAAATGTCGTTCGATGCTTCACCTCAGTTTGAATAATCAACTAACCATCTATGTCCCTTCCAAATTGAAGAAATTTTGTAAAATAAGTATACAAGAATAAAATAAAGATAAACCGCAAAATAGTCTATCAGTTGCTTTACTGATAGGCTAATTTGATGTTGTCTTCAAAATCTGGTGCGATGCTTCACTTCAGTTTCAATAATCAACTAACCACCTCTGTCCCTTCGAAATTCAAGAAATCCTGTAAAATATGCTCTGAAGATTTAAAAGGACCGTTGAATGCTCATAGTAATAAAAGCAATAAATCAAATTGTTCACTCCAGAATCCATGAAATTCATTGTATGAGTAATATATTTCCATCTGATTACTTATTCTTTGTAAATAGGGAAGACTTTAAGTCAGTGGTGCACAAACAGTGACATTGGAATATCAAATAACGATAAACCATACTGCTGGTTTACTGATAGACTTATTTGCTGTTGCTTTGGAAATATGGCTAATACCTCAGTTTAAATAATCATCTAATCACCACCGTCCTTTTTGAAAGTGAAGAAATGCTGTAAAATATGCACTGAGGATTTAAAGGGACCCTTGAGTGTTCATAGTAATAAACACAGTAAAGCATATTGTCCACAAGAGAATCCCTGAACTTCGTAGCATAAATGACATAATTTTCCTGATTGCTTATTCTTTGTAAATAGCGTAGACTTTAAGCGAGTGGTGCACTAACATTGACATCGGAATATCAAATAGCAGAAATAACGACACACCTTATAACTGATTTACTGATAGACTTATTTGCTGTTGTTTTCGACATATGCTGCGATGTTTTACCTCAGTTTAAATAATCATCTAATCACCTGTGTCCCTCCGAAAGTGAAGAAATGCTGCAAAATATGACTGAAGATTTAAAGGGACCCTTCAGTGTTCATAGTAATAAACAAAATAAAACATATTGTTCACGAGAGAATCCCTAAACTTTGTAGTATGAGTAATATAATTGTTGTGGTTTCTTTTTCGTTTGTAAATAGGAAGACTTTAAAGACAGTGGTACACAAACAATGACATCGGAATACTTTTAAATAAATATTTTATTTCAGAAAACAGACTGAAGAATTGTCTAAAAAAAGTTCAGTCTTAATAAACATAAAATGATAATGACAAAACTATCTTTCGTAAAGCAAAAAAAATATTATGTAATTAGTATAAACTATTTATATCACATAGGCCGCCACATAAGCCAGCCTTTTAACAAAATTTCTTTACGTTACGAAGTCCTTCACCTCTATAAAAAAATTATTATTTTATCAATCATATTTAAAAATTATAGTGGTGAGAAAAACATTGAATTTCATCTGTGATGACTTTATTTCTAAAGTGCAAAGTCGAATTAGTTATTTTGTGTAAAACTTTACTTTTAAGAAATGTAATGTAAAAGTTTTGAATGGTAAATATTTTTCTCTCTGTATGTTTGTGCTTATTGCACAGACTTAAAACGTGCTGCCATAGGCATTAACTGGATGCATGCAATGCTGATTGTTTAAATATTAATCTGCAAGAAACGGTTTCGAGATAAGATTCATGAATAAATAGAAGACGAGCAGCGTTTTATTAAATTTAATACGAAAACTCTTCATGTGAGAAATGAAGGGCAGGTGTCAGAAACATTTTGCAATCTTAAAAACACATATATATTTATAAAAACATATAATGTTCAAATTAGGGCGTGAATGGCCTTGTGGCTAATGCTCTGGCGCACGGTACAGTATGTTTCGGGTTTGAGTCCTGGCGGTGCCATGGATGTTTTAGTGGTTCGGAATCCACTTTAAACTGTAGGTCTCGGTCTAAAAACAATCGTAGAGCGTTGTGGGGGCATTGTGACTCAGCGTCCGTGTCTTATCTTCAAGTTACACGCGGCCCTTGGGTAATGTAAAGTGAGTAACGTCTGTGCAGCACTTGCCTTAAGGCATCAAAAACAGCTGTCTAAGAGTTTGCCAGCTGCATTAAAAAAATATTGTACAATTCTATATGCAATTTTAATATATATAAAATCGATAAAGACACATTTATATTTTTATTTTTTCTACGCGTGGTCCTTCAGCCTGATGGGCAAATGGATAGCGCTCTGGCTGTTGGTTCTGAAGGCTTCATGTTCGATTCCTGTCTGTAGTATGGATGTTTGTTGGTGGTTCGGCATCCACATTAAGTTGCTGGTACCGGTTTATTCAGCCTGAAGTTTGCATAAGATGACTGTAGAGCGGCGAATTATACCACCCGTACTCCACGTATCTAGGTGTATGTAGCAGCCCATCGTTAAAACAGAAGAGGTTTATACATTGGTGGGCCTCATGTGTAAAAAAAGAAATGCCTTATTGATATTGATGCATTTTAAGGGTAACTTCAAAGCATTTACGTGTCGTACCGAAGAAATCCCTGAAATTTTTACCAAACTTCTTGCTATCGACGCGAGCAGTATTATGTACATTAATACATTCGCAAGCGTGTCTCCTCCTTTATAAAATCAGTGACTACCACAATTCCACTAGCCCTAACTAATCTAAATCCTTAATTAAAAATATTACCTGAATATGACATAACGCTATTTACCAACAAAAAACGTCCGCGCACCTCTCTGAACGTACTAAATAAATAAATATTTTATTCAGCTCTTTCTATGTGTTGATTTTATTCCCCCTATTTTATTTCTTATAGGTGCGCAGTAGATCTACCTCCCCGTGGTGCACCTGGTAAAACATTTTAGTGGCTAAAAGATCTACAACTTGACATTATGTCGTTCTCCCCTCACTTTGACAGCATGCGCGCTAGAAACTTCGAGTCCTACAGTGGAATGCTCTTTGTGTCCTAGTGGAATGCAAGTGTCTCAATCCAAGTGCGCAGAGCTTTTGCTGACTCTGTGTGAGGAGGATATTGATGTCTTTACTATTATGGAGGCTAATTTGACAGCCGACTGCCTGCGAAACCATCTTTACAGACTCAAAATTGTTCCTTCCCCGATATGCACCTCTGGAGAGGCCATGGACTCCACGCATCTACTTCAATATCCTGCTCTGAGAAAGACTTTTCTCGCCGAGCGATATTGAGGAGGCTAATGATATGTTAGATTAACGAACTCTGTTTCGGCATGTTTTGTTGTATTCTCTTTTTTTTCGTTGTTCTTTTTATTGCTGTAATTGTTCATAATATGCCATTGGAAATAGAAAAATATATATATATTTCTTATTTTTCTTTCACTTCATTTTCTGAGCAAGCCCTTTCTTTTATCGTTTACCCCCAAAGAAATAAGCAAGATAGAGGTATATTGTTGTGGCGCCGCCATCCACTCACTTAGTGAATGAGACGTAATTAGGAAATTGATGGGAAATGTGTAATTTTAAATTTATGTATTTTGTGTTTATAAATT